TTCCAGCCCTCTGTCACGGAAGCAAGCAAGCCTCATGTTCAGTTTAAGCTGCCTGGCTGCCGGCCGCCATCTTGGCTGGCACTTAATTTGCATATCGCCCTGATTAGTCAATGGGAAGGGTAGCGGATGTACGCTAGTTACCATGTTTCTCTTTTATTAGATAGGATAGTATTTGGTACTTATTAAAGGTAGTTCATGAGTGTGGTATCTAAGTCAATGTGACATCTCTAGCTGTTTCATTGACAAATACTATAGTATAATTCTTGCCTATCAAGCATTGAAATGAATTTACATTTGTTTTAGGATTTGCATGGAATTTCCGTTAGCCGTCAGAGTTGTGCGCCATTTGTTGACTTTTACTCTGTTCCTTGCACTGTGCTAATTGCTCCTTGTGCATTTTCTTATTGGCACCTAACAACAATGTAGAAGTTACTATTTCTTATTTTACAGAAAACAGAACTGAGTTAAGAGACATTAAAGAACTCTCCAGCATTCTTTTTTTAAAATATATATATATATATTTTATTGAGTTTTTACAGAGAGGAAGGGAGAGGGATAGAGAGCCAGAAATATCAATGAGAGAGAAATATCTATCAGCTGCCTCCTGCACAACCCCCACTGGGGATGTGCCCACAACCAAGGTACATGCCCTTGACTGAAATTGAACCTGGGACCCTTCAGTCTGTAGGCTGATGCTTTATCCACTGAGCCAAACTGGTCAGGGCTCTCCAGTATTCTTGAGCAACTAAAAGACAGCCAAGACTAGAACCCATCTGATTCCAGAAGTTCCTGCTCTTGACTGCTCTGCTAGAACCCCTTTATGGCCGATTGTAAATTGGGTCTTAAAATCACAGGCAATTAAACAATGCAGAGGGAAATGGGAAATGGATGTAGTTATATAGTAGCTGCAGACTTCTGGGCATTCTCTAAAGTCAACTCTGCATTTTTCCAGTTACTGGAAGGGGATTGGAGTGAAGATGAGTGAGAATCTGTAGTTACAAGTCCCGTTTTTCGCCTGAAAATTCTGCTGATCAGCTGTAAAACTAAGTTTCTTTCTTCCACCTTTACTCTCCAAGCATTCTGGTTGTGCTTTTGTGTGCAGAAATGCCCATGGAGAGAACTACACAGGGTTTGAGATGCAGAGCCAGAATAAGGGTCTCCTGTATAACCAAATCTCAAAACACAGAGCTGTAGAGCCAAAAAGGATCGCAGAAATTGGTGCACCTATGAAACTTTTCCAAGGACTAGATTCTCAGTGGTTCTCAAAATAGCATCACCTGGGAAGTTGTTAGAAATGCAGACTGTTGGGCCCCAGCCCAGACCTCTGGGTCAAAGATTCTGGGGATGGGGTCCTGCAATTTGTGCTTTATGAAGCCTGCTAACATTTGAGAACCACTGAACCAGAGCAAAAATTTCCACAGGGGCCCTGGCCAGGTACCTCTGTTGGTTAGAATGTTGTCCCAATACACCAAGGTTGGGGGCTCCATCCCCAGTCAGCACACATACAAGAAGTAACCAATGAAAGTACTTCATTGTGCCAATGACTGGAACAACAAATTGATCTCTCTCTCTGTCTCTCTCTCCCCCCACTCCCTCTCACCTCTTTTTCCCTCTCCCTCTCTCCCCTCTCTTTC